CACACTGGAAATCAGGTGGAATCCACTGAGAGGAAAAGGAGTGGTAGACCCAGGTATCGGCGAGGCTGAAACCGTTAGTTTCGAGAGCTCTGAAACTAAATGTTCAGGCCGAACGCATACGCTTCGGCCACCGTTTCGGCCGGATGTCCCCGAAACAATATAATTACCTGATATGGTAACCAATTTGTTTCAGCGCTGCCTAAGCTGCTTCTCAAACCAATGGCTTCAGTGTTGTTTTCTTGAGCACACCCAAACTAACCATTCAGCACTCAATTTCGGCTCAAATGATTCCATCAAATTTCGGCTCGATACTGATGTTGGTGGGCGAAAATAATAAAATAAAGAAATAAAGAAACTGAAATATTGCGTAATCTTTGGGCGTATTTGGCGAAAGCTTCTGAGCTTCACGTGGTATTTCGATACTGAAAAAAAGTGCTAAGAATACTGTCCCAGGTTCCAGGAAACTCTCAGAAAAAAGGAGTGAGCTCGAAAGAACGTGTCAGAGACCCTTAAATATTTTAGGTATTCAAGATGCCCAGATACGAGCACAATTAATTACCCATCAATCATGCGATACTGAGCGGAGTTTTTCGATACTGAGCGGAGTTCGAATCTGGCTTTCAAGATCATGCGCCAGAAATCAATCGACGACCAATCTGTTTCAGAATTCTCCGCAGCCAGAAATGACACATTGGCATCTTAAACTGCTTCTGGCCATCCATCCTACTCGGGGTCAATATGTTTTGGGGCTGCAGCTGTGTCTACTTGTCGAAAACTGCGCGCATCAATTTCATGGCCGGCCCGTTCAGGCGACCCGTAATCCTCCCTTGGTCAAGTGCATTGAGTAAAATAACATACGCTTTACAAGCACATTCCTCCAGCCTATTTTGTGGCGCTAGAGTACCCTGCAGTGCGGATACAGAAGTTTACATTTACGAAAGGATAATAATAGATTTACTGTGGGATTAAGGCTTGTGAACCAACGAAGGTCGTAGCTGCATGTTATGCTCTTCAAGAGGTGGTCTCATTTTTTCCAGACATATTGAATTGACGGGGTTCGAGACGCGACGCGGATGGCGGAGGTCGGGCCGGCACACGTGGACATTTCAAACTCCGCTCGGTATCGGTGATCAGTATCGACCACTAACATCAGTATCGAGCCCAAATTCCAGTGTGCTGCTGTACGTAAATGTAAATATTTCCCGTAACAAATAGCGCCTCAGCGTCCGCACCTGGATGACGCCCAGTAGAGACTAAGATAGAATATGCGCGGTATTAACACCGGCAGATCTGTATACTACAAGTGCGGCCCAAACATATCATTCCAACGAAATGTATCTGCTTTATGCGAAACCTTTCCCGCAACAGCGGGTAGGCGCTGCTTTACGAGGGCCATGTCTGGGGGCCTGGTCGAAACAGAGAAAGACACGAAGACATCCTCGAGCCCCTCGCCGGCTTCCGCTAGGAGTCCGTTCAGGTTCACCCATGACGCAAAGTTCCAGCAGTCGTCGTTGGACCGTGCAGCCTGGAACCCAAATGACAAAAAGATAGTCTTGAGCTCCTTTAAATGGCGGAGGCTGCCGAAGAGCTGCAGGGAGGCGCAGTCGAAGTCCTTGACCGCTATGGCACGCAGCGTCTGGTTTCCCTGCAGGATGTCGGGGTCAGACGGCGTCTCTGTGGTGGTGCTGTCAACAATATGCAGGCGACACGTGTATGTGCGAATGGAACGGACCATCTGCGAACGCGATTCGGACTTGTTGGAGCGTTTGTGCATTTAGTTTTAGCAATGGAAGCACGGGTGTGGCGACTAGCACCAGGGATCGGAGATGTTTGATGTCGACAATGCAGAAACTGGACAGTATGGTGTCCACGCCATACTGCATTGAGTCGAGTCTGAGGGATTCGAGGACGATATGCGGCTCGCGAGGGACATCCACGCGCCCAACGGCGGAGGATTCATGGAAATCGATGTTGTTTAAGGTCAGCGCTTTCAATCCGATTGCGTGGCTGAGGAGCGACTCCAGCTCCGAGACATCTGCAAATTTCATGTCCGTGAGGCAGAGGTTCCGGAGACAGTGGAGGGAGAGCGCCGCATGGATGCTCGTTTTGAGAAGGTCGGGCTGCAAAGCCCAAGAATGGCCGGAATCACATTGGAGGGTGAATTGAAGGTGCGTCAGGCTAGGTAGGAGGCGCAGGATGCGCGGAACCACGATCGTTTTCTCGTATACCTGGACTGGCGCGTTGCCTTTCAGGTCGAGCGTGAAATATCTAACGAGCTTGCCAATATGGGGAGATTCCGCAAGGAGTCTGTCGAACTTCATCAAATCCTTCGGATGGTGACGACGGCCGATCCTGGTGAACAAGTGTAGCTGGCTCCGGGGTTGGAATGAACGAGCGGTTAGGGAACAAGCCCGCAGGGCTCGTTGGTCCAGGACACTCCATTGTTCTGGAGATCTAGACGAGTCACCCACTGGCAGTCTGGCGACTTCGTCTAAAATCGTGTCGAGGAGCTCCTGAGGGAACCGCATGGCAACTGTAGGCCCGAGTGAGGCGAATCGTAAATCTCTGCGAGGGCTACTTCTAGTGGAAATGCAGCCAAGAATTCGTCTCTCCTAGCTAAACGCGCTGGAGGTCCTGGTGATCGAGGGAAGACACAACAACAACAAACACGCATTTTGTTTCCTGCCACCACGATTGCAATACGCGCTGAGGCTTTATTTCTAGTGAAATACGCGATGCATCCTGTCACCGAAACTGGGCCCCAGGGTGAAGAAGCTCGGAGCACCCGCTCAGCCGCGCGCGCCCGCATATCGGAACTCGATGCGCGCATCCTGGAACTCGAGCGCGCCATTGCTGCGGCACGCCTGGAGCGGCAAGACCTGTTCGAAGCCCATCTCGCCCCATACACATACCCCATCCTCACCTTGCCCTCCGAGATTGCCTCGGAAATATTTCTCCACTTCATCCCAGCCTATCCCGAGCGTCCTGATCCCTGTGGGATCGAGTCGCCGACGCGCCTAGGGCAGATCTGCCGTTCCTGGCGCGAAATTGCATTCAGCACCCCGCAGCTCTGGAGAGCCATCAAATTGGATCTGGACCAGACCCCCTCGACGCACATCTTGCAGCTGGACATCCTCAGCACTTGGCTTGTGCGCTCCAAAAACTCCCCTCTGTCTACTTCCATGAAATACGCGCGCTACGCCAAAGCAGACCTCGCGCCATTCATCGTGGAAATCACCAGACACGCGTGGCGCTGGGAACATATCGAGCTCCTTCTTCCCACTGATGATCTCCATTTAATCGGGACCGCCGAATTCCCTCTCCTCCGCTCCTTGACCTTCGGTGCGGGCAACTACGTGCACGAGCCTGGCTTGATAGATATCGAATCATCCTTCGACAATGCCCCCAACTTGACGGACGTCACGCTCTTTGAAGGTTGTTCCCCCTTCCGGACAGCGCTCCCGTGGTCCCAGCTTACGCGCCTCTCTGCCGATCTGCTCTTCTCCTCCGAATGCGCCGAAATCTTGCGGCATGCGAGCGCACTTGTGCATTTTTCCACCAACATGTGCGACGACGAAGACGAAGGCGCGTTGTCTCCCTTGAAGCCTCTCGAGCAGCTTCAGTCATTGCGATTGGGCGACTTGAAGAGTTCCCCCCGCCCAACTCAAAGGCGCATCCTCGATGCACTGACTACGCCCGCTCTCCGACACCTCCAGATATCCGAGCAGCTCTCAGCCGTCGGAGGGGATACATTCTCTACAATCGCCGCCCTCATCTCTAGATCCCAGTGTAGGCTGGTGTCTTCGCAGGTTTTCCATGCGGTGCTGCCTGAGGCGTCGTACCGCGCAGCATTTCCCTCGGTCCCCACCATCATACTTTTTGCTCAAGTGGCATGACGTGTCTTGTGAGTATTGTATTCCATTTCAAATTCTCCCTCTTCCCTCTCATGTTTCGCGCAGGTTTCTATTAAAGACGCAGTGCATCTTTTACATTGTTACATAACTCACATTCCCGTCCGCCGACATTCAAGTACTCTGTACCGAGTGATATAGCCTTGCAACTTTTGAAACGCGGTTCTTGAATTTTTGAAACATCGGAGCATGAATATATATATTTTCGGCGCCAACACAAGATGACGCAGGTTTTGTGGTCTCGGATTGTTGTAAATCAGTTGTGGAATCGGGTAACTACCATAATATCCACCAGACTAGACTAGAGCTCAGGTTCAACGTCTGCGGCGCAGTCTCGGTGATGCCGGGTTGAAATGAGGATAGTACCTTCTATATCGCTTTGCCTGCCCAAAATATTTATTTTGCTGCAACCATGTGAGTGTTAATTCTCTTTGAATTAAATATTGGTCCAAAAACGCGGCACGAAGATCGCAGAAAAAAGACACCCACCCGGATTCAGGTCGGCGCCGGTGCGCACGCGGTGCTCCATCGTCGTGTCGAGTGCCAGCAGCGCGCGGTCCGCGCTCACGGCGTACAGGGAGGGCGAGATGAGCTACCACTGCAAGTCGAGGATCGGCGCTTTCGTCAATCTGGGCGCGTAGGAGAGGGAAATGCTGCGGTCGGCGAAGGATGTTTTGACCCGTGGGGTCCGGCGCGTCGAGCCCGCTTGTGCACTGTACGATATGCGTCGAGGAATCTGCCGGCGCATGTGCTTGATTAGCCGCGGTGTGCCGGAGGAGGAGGGCGTTTCGACATCGTTATAGTTGTATCAGAGTGTGGACACGTGATGAGGCGCGTCAAACGAATGGGCCAAGCACGGTCAAGCAAACATGGCCATAATACTTTATTGCAAGTTGGATAAGTGCGCTGTCGGCGTGGACCAACGCCAAGTTTTTACCAGTGTCCTCCTATCCGCGCGCTGAGAACTCAAGTATGTACGACTCTCGAATCCACCTGAATACAGCTTCTTCAAGTTGTTTTCCCTCCCCCGGGCCGCCGAAAATAAAATCGTGGATGTGGTTTGTCCGGGGTACGAGGCGAGCTGATATCGTCTTCGTGGAGTAATGCAACTCGCTCCCACCTGTTATATGGGTGCGCTGGCAGTTACGGGAGAGCCGGTGGTTCGAATCCACCCGTAGACATGTGGTATAGTATTAGTCTTTTTAAATTTTTTACCCAACCAGCAGGTGGAGATGGAGTGAGTATTCAGGATTCAAGCTCGTCTCTCAGTCCCACGGTTCGAGCTTGAAACCACCCGCAAGGACATTGCAGCGACACGGTAAATTAAATTTTCCCTCCCGGCACAAAATAGAATTGTGGCCCCGGATGGGTGTATCCTGGGTACAGGTTAAGCTGATATCGTCTTCGTGGAGTGATATGTGCAACTCACTCCCACCCGCTATTAGATTCAGATTCGTTTAGGCACCGTGACAGGGGAGCCGGTGGTTCAAATACATATCACCACAGGCGGACTTTTTCCTTTCTCCCCCGTGGCTAGAGAAAAAATGAGGGAGTATATTCAGGGTACAAGGTAAGCTAATATCGTCTTCGTGGAGTAGCGCAACTCACTCCCATTTGCTAGTGTCGTCGTCACGTATTCATACCGGGAGAGTCGGTGATTCGAATCCACCAGAAGACATACAGAACCAAAGTTAAAGTTTTTTTTCTTCCCAGCCCCAAACTTTAAAATTATGGTTGCCTCCAACGAGATACAAAGCATGCTGATATCGTCTTCGTGGAGTGATATGTGCAACTCCCTTAGATTCAGAGTCGTATAGCCACGGGATAGCCAGTGGTTCGAATACTTCCCTTTTTCCCCCATGGCTAGAGAAAAAATGAGGGAGTATATTCAGGGTACAAGGTAAGCTCATATCGTCTTCGTGGAGTAGTGCAACTCATTGCCAATTGCTAGCTCCGTAGTGTCGTCTTTCTGCTAATGTGTCGCCTGTGGTTATGCGTGTGTCCGTCGCCTTTCGTCAATCCCGATCTGCAACATGGCAAGAGGAAATTCGGTGTGGCAGTGCATTGAGATCAGATGGACCTAACCTACTATTACTAACTTTGTGCGTCTACCCGGATCCACGCGCTCTTTCCGTGCTGGTACTTCTTCAGAGCCGCCCTCTGTGGAATCTCCCCGGTAAGTACTCCCTGATTCTCTTGGACCCGGGTTGGGCTGACAGAAGTTGGGTCGAAGCTCATCGAATTCATTCACTCCTGGTTCCGGAGGTAACCAGGTCCGCCTCGATCGCACCCTCTTTTTACCACGCTCCGATTGGCTGTATCAGCTCCACAATATCCCACGCACTTCGGCATCTTGATAGCGCATCAAATACAGCACCATTGAATTCCTGTAGGCTCCAGGTCTGGACTGATTTAATTTTGGTGCTGGTTTTTCCTAGACTCACATAGTCAGACTCCACATGTTCAAAGATAGTTGATGAACTATATATGGAGTCTGAATCTGCTGGCACCGGTGTTACCGGACCTTGGATTGCCGTGATCAATGCGTGACCACACGTGAACTCTCCCACGGACCGAATCGGGATGAAAGCCCATTTCCACCGCCCTGCACTGTCTACCAACATATAAATGACCCGTACTGCAAGTAAGACCACTTAGATACCTCCTAGAGCCTTTCGATGCAATCTTGAGCTTTAAATTGATGTGTTCGGGGGCCAACCGCTAATTGTGATGCAATGAAGCCAAATCATAACACTTTTACTTCGGGAAAAGCTCAGGAAGCTTTAACGAGTTTGATTAACCATTTAGGCACACTTTCTTTTAGTATATCGCTCAGATCCGGCTTGTGAGCGTGTATTCCGCATTGGGCGCGTGGGAGAATTCACGTGCAGTCACGCTTTGATCACGGTAATCTGAGGTCCGGTAAGCCCGGTGCCAGTAGATTCAGACTAGGTTTTTCCAAATGTACCGTGATCTGAAAGTTACCGCACTATTTTACCCGAAACACGATGAAAAAAACCTCAACTGCGATTTAGATAGCCACGCTTGAATTCCAAATTGTGAAGCATCGAGATGAGAGGGAATCCTCACGAGAGCTCAGAGTAGCCATGATTTCTGGCACCTTGTACCTTTTTTTTTTTTACCTCCGTGCATGCCAAGTTCACCACACGTGCGAACACAAAACTACTGTGCACCCTCTAAAATACAAGATATATATATATTAGATTTTACAAGTTAACTATCACTAGCGGTGGAGCAGTGGTATAGGAATGAACTCTCCGACTTCTCCAAAAAACATGGAATAAAATTCAAGTGCCAGACAGCCAGTGTGGCCTGAGAATGACATTAATTTCACCTTTGGAATAGGCACATCTGTAAGAAATAAACTACTGTTGTTGGAATTTAGTATAGTTTTTTTTTCAGCAGCCGGCTGGAGGCCTACTATCATCTGATTTTCTACAATAATAAACTGCCCACTCTCAGTGAAAAATGACCTAGCTGCAATGGCCGGTGTGGATGAAATTTTGGTCCAGTCGAAGCTGGCCGGAGGCGCATCGCCAGAGCATGCTTTATCAAAAATAGAGGCAAGGGCCGCACGGCTTGCGGAATGGATGAAAATATGAGGCACATCTATTATTTACATGTGGTAACAAGAAAAGGGTGGTCTCCCCTCGACTGTCGACCGGAGGAACCAGGTCTGCCGGGAGGGCTATACTATTAAAATCCAATTGAAATCCGTCTCCATCTCGGCTTCAAACACAGCGTGGCCTGTTTCTTGGCAGTTCTTGGCACGCTTCAACCGAGGCAGGCAGTGTCGATCTGACGTAATGCCCTTCACATTATAAAATTGACCAAGCACGTCCGACAGCTCATTGTACTTCGCTTCCAGATACCATGGTACGGCCCATCCCTTCCCCCGTTCCCCTATAGTCTGACGGACTATTTAGACGGCCGCGACTCAGTTTATTGAAACATATGAGCTCTATCAGATCTGCTTGGCGTTTCTTGCATCGTCTATGGTTCGCGGTGAGCTTCCGAGTCGTGAACTGGCCCATCTTGCGCGGACCTCCAAGACGACGTCCGAACCTGCGCTCGACCTCCTTTGGAAAACACTTTCCAATCCATCTCCCATTCTCCGGCTCCTGCCCGCCGATGCCTGCGAATTGGTCCAGGGCAAGTACATGCTCAAGCGGCCTCTCATCGAGTCCGACTTTGAAGCGTTCGACAAATATGCATACCGTGTTCGTATTTTGGATTTTTTGGAGCCCAACCGTCGCGATACCATGGGATGTCACCTTTTCGCCGCGCTAAGGGCGCACAGAAACCCCATTTTCCCTCGCCTCTCCACCTTCGAGTGGTCGATGGAAGCTATTACCGCCGGGTCATTTCACATCCTCTCGCGCAGCGCGCCCGCAGAAAGGCTTTTACTTACGAGTAGTAGTCTCCTCACTCTCTCAGATGCCGACCCTCCCGATTGGCCAGGCATTTCTGCTCTCGTCAAAGATCCCTTGGCGTCCTGGATTCCCGACGTCCGTGACCTTTACCTGGGCGGGCATGTTCACGAACTATTTTCCCCTGCAAATCTTTTAGGCGGCTTAAAGGCCCTCACCAAGCTGCAGCACTTGACTCTCCAGTCTCCTGTCGGTCCACGCATCCTCGCTCATCTTGCTGCTCTGCCATATCTTCTCTCCTTGCGTCTTGAACAAGAGGATGAAGACTGCGCCACGGAGCTACAGCGAGTCTTTTACGACCGCCAGCGGAATCACGAACGTAGTTTCCCAGCTTTAGAAAAATTGCAGGTTATTTTCTGCGACTATAACACGCTATGCGTGCTTATTGGATTGGTCGATTCAATCGATTTACACACCCTGGGCTTCACCCTCAACCCCTCGCACCCCATCGACTCATCCCTTCTCTACCCCCTAATGAGCCCTGATCCCATTCTCTCCCTGACCCGCGGCAGGAACCTGCGGGATATCTACGTGTACAATCCGCACTCCACTGTTTCCACTGCAGTCCTCGAATGGCTCTATTCCTGTCCCTGTCTGGAGACGCTTCGGGTTTATGGCGAGATATACCCGGATGACGCCGACATCGAGAGAATGGTGTCGAGTTGGCCAAATCTGCGGACACTGTTCATACACAATAACAGCGAATTGCCACCTCGTGCACATCTGTATTCCCTTCGCAGCCTCGCAGCGAGGTGTCCAAATCTCTATGAGATTTGTATGGCGGTGGATGCGCGTAACCATGCGACAGCTATCACTACGGTGGACGCCGACTTCCAACCGGCGCCGTCATACACAGCCAGACAAATCTTTCTCAGTGACTCCCTGATAGAAGACGAGGACATTGCGGCCGTCGCAGACTTCCTCAACGACACCTTCCCGCACCTCACCGCATTCCTGGGCCGTGGTCCCGCCTGGGAGGAAGTGCGTAAATCGCTGCATTCTTTGCCACGAGATGAGATGGGTAAGATTTTGGAGCTTGAAGAAGAGTAAACACGTATGGATAGTTGATGGAGGGGTGGATGGATTGAAGTCCACACGGAAATAAATACTTCTTCTTTTACTCTTTGAATATGCTTATTTTGAAACCAGCCATTCCTTTTAGCTTACACTCGGACGCAATACTTTCCAGCACATTGGAACCCGAGCTCGCGCTCTTGACTCATGCACCAGTTCGGACCTTGTTTTTCTCCTCACCGGTGCAGGGTTGCAGACTCTCGACGAACCGCCGCACTTCTGGACCACAAAAACATACCCGCATTGTTGCGAGTAGCCCAGAGATTTCATACGTAGTAATGAGAATTTATCCACTTCATCCCAATTAATGATGTCTCTCAGGCTGCAGCCGCTCTTGAAACGGCGGGACAAAATCCCCCGTGGGTCCTCATATCCGGGAGTACCCTACACTGGTGCATATAGCTTTTCTACTTTCAACGCAGTTCTGCGGACAAACCCTCACGAATACGCCAACTGAATACAATTATCGCAGGAAAGAAATACTCTACCCCCTACTCATATGCATGCGTTACATTTGGTTCGTCCGCAAATTTGGCTCCGGCCACAGCACTGGTACATATCCCTTCCAGCTTTGTCGTTTTCCACGCGATTTTCATTCGTACAATCACCAGTCGATTAAGCCGACAGATAAAAAAAACTATAACGGATGTGGCCAT